TTATAAATCTTTTAATTCAAAAGATTTAATTCTAATTTAAAAGATTTAATATAAATCTTTTAAACCTGGGAAGATGGGAATTATTTTTGTTTTGATGGAAAAATCAGGAAAGCAAGTGACTTCCCCAAGTTTATAGAGTAAGCCAAAGTCCCAATAGGCTGAATTCACACCTAGGAATTTGGGTCCACAACTGAGAACAGTTAATTGTTTGAAAGCAGCACACAGTACAAACACAAGGCTCAGTTGCTGATGCTATTAACAATATTGTATTATGATCATTATAATTTTTCCCTATTTATCTCTAATGCCAGAGTGCTTACACTCTGCACCTCTCGGGCCATACGGCCTTGTCATTGTCTTGTATCTTGCATCAATTACTTCTGCACATAAAGCTTTTTTCTCTAATACAATTGCAATTTGTTTAAAGCAGCAAAGAATTAAGCTCCCAGGAAGTGCTCAGTGATATGTGCCTTGGTTCTTTCTAGATGTTTACCAACAACTGAGCTCTAATCCCATCTGACTGGCCCAAGCCTAACAAAGAAACTTTGACTTTCCAGGCATCAGTGACCTTCACTGGCAGGCTGTAACCTCCATTCATGTCTCTGTACTGAGACATGACACTGAAGACCTGTAGGCTTCTGGTCTCAGTGCGTAAAGCCTCCCCTTTCCTCCACGTGGAAGCCTGACACCCCCTTCACTCGGCCCCTTTTCCAAATCTGTAGGGCACCCTCCTTCCTTCCCACAGACCTGCTGAGTTACCATCTCATCTTCTACCTGGCCTCTTTGTTTCTGCTCAGATTATTTAGGGCAAGAAACATTCTCTCCCTCAAAATGGCTCAGACACTCAAGAATCTGTTGGAAGGAAACGAGGGTGTAAACTCTTCTTCTAAACATGTGAAACAGTAAACACATAAGAGTGACAAGTGATTAGATGTGACATTTGAGACCAGAATGTTGAAGCAACCATGAGAGGATGATGATGAAGTAAATGGCTAATACTTATTGAATGCTATTGAGAGGCCGGGCATTGTTATAAACGCTTTGCACCAATTAACGCATTTAATCTTCTTAATAATGCTGTGAAATAGCTTTACCATTTTATAGATGGAGAAACTGAGGCATGACACAGTGAAATAGTTTGTCCCAGGTCACGCAAAGCCAGTATACATGCAACATGGATTTAAACCCAGGAACATAATTCCAAAGCTCAATGCTTATCACACACACACACCTTGGAGCTCTTAAAGGGCATGGTGTGTTTCTTACCTACCAGGCCCACAGTTGATGCTCAAGAAATGGATAATAGGTATGACCTATGAAATAATAAGATGTCAGTGACATAACATCATTATGACTTTGGCCCAATCTTCTAACAAAGTAATAGTCTCTTCTTGCTCTCTTAAAGCTATCTTCATTTAAAAATAAAGCCTTCTGGCCGGGCGCGGTGGCTCAAGCCTGTAATCCCAGCACTTTGGGAGGCCGAGGCGGGTGGATCACGAGGTCAAGAGATCGAGACCATCCTGGTCAACATGGTGAAACCCCGTCTCTACTAAAAATACAAAAAATTAGCTGGGCATGGTGGCACGTGCCTGTAATCCCAGCTACTCAGGAGGCTGAGGCAGGAGAATGGCCTGAACCCAGGAGACGGAGGTTGCGGTGAGCCGAGATTGCGCCATTGCACTCCAGCCTGGGTAACAAGAGCGAGACTCCATCTCAAAAAAAAAAAAATAATAATAAATAAAGCCTTCTTTTTCCTACTTCAGTATTGTGAAGGCACTTTAAATCCAGAAATGTAAAGCACTATCATGTGTATGCCCATGCTTTTTTTTTTTTTTTTTTTTTTTTGGGAGGGGGTTTCTCTCTTTTTTCCCAGGCTGGAGTGCAATGGCGCGATCTCGGCTCACTGCAACCTCCGCCTCCTGGGTTCAGGCAATTCTCCTGCCTCAGCCTCCTTAGTAGCTAGGATTACAGGCACGTGCCACCATGCCCAGCTAATTTTTTGTATTTTTTTAGTAGAGACGGGTTTTCACCATGTTGACCAGGATGGTCTCGATCTCTTGACCTCGTGATCCACCCACCTCGGCCTCCCAAAGTGCTGGGATTAGAGGCTTGAGCCACCGCGCCCGGCTGCCCACGCTTTTTAAATGACAAAGCAGTGGTATTTTGATGAATCCTCTCATAACAAAGTGACGTGGTAGCATTAAACTACGTGCAGTGGAAACAAAATCTGGGCATTATAGGACCACTTAATCTTTGTGGTACCAGTTGCTTGTGACAGCAGAGGCAGACAGATGATGGGAGAAAAGAAAGCTCCTCTTGTTATCCCATAAGTATATATGTGACAGCTAGTCTGTCCATAATTACAGCTGTTTGATACCACATCATGCTTCCTTAATCATATTTACTTTGGAGACAGGGTGTTGTTCTGCCGCCCAAGCTGGAAAGCAGTGGTGCGATAACTCATTGTGACCTTAAAATCCTATACTCAAGCAATCCCTCCCCGCTCAACCTTCTGAGTATCTGGGATTGCAGGCATATGCCCATACCTGGGTAATTAAACAATGTATTTTTTTTACAGACTGAGTTTTGCTATGTTGCCCAGGCTGGTCTCGAACTCCTGGCCTCAAGCTATCCTCCTGCCTCAGCCTTCCAAGGTGCTGGGATTACAGATATGAGCCACTGCACGTTGCCCTTCCTTAATTATAAATCTCTCAAAGATCCTTCAGTGTTCCATGGAATCTCAATATAAATTTCATGATTAAAAATAAATGAAAGATAAAAGTTCTGCAGAACAGTCAAAATTTACCACCCCATTCCAAACCTGCTGTCTTTTGCAAACTGCTATTGGACTATGCCTCTGTGCTCTGGCTTTCAGTTAAGGTAGCACATATATCAGAGGAGATATATTTTGTTCACATTCAGAAACCTTATCAGTCATTCCACACCAGAATTATGTCTATAATGTAATGTTCCTTTTTAAAATATCTTACTGCCGGGCGCGGTGGCTCATGCCTGTAATCCCAGCACTTTGGGAGGCCGAGGCAGGTGGATCACGAGGTCAAGAGATCGAGACCATCCTGGTCAACATGGTGAAACCCCGTCTCTACTAAAAATACAAAAAATCAGCTGGGCATGGTGGCGCATGCCTGTAATCCCAGCTACTAAGGAGGCTGAGGCAGGAGAATTGCCTGAACTCAGGAGGCGGAGGTTGCGGTGAGCCAAGATCGCGCCATTGCACTCTAGCCTGGGCAACAAGAGCGAAACTCCGTCTCAAAAAAAAAATAAATAAAATAAAATATCTTACTCTCACTTGTAATAAAGAACGAAATCTGAAACACAGCCCATATCACAGCCCTCTACTTGCATCAATGTCCATACACTCCAAATTGAATTGATCTTTATTACCTTTCTAATCACAAGATAAGATTCTAATCACAGGGCCAGTCAGACTATTCCATTTCTTACCTAGAACTTAGAATTTCTCTGAAGTCATCCTCCCTCCTTACAATCCATAATTATCTGTCAAGGATCAGTGCAGAGAACAAAAACTCTCTTAACTATTTCAAGACATGCAGTGCAGCAAATTCGTGCTTTTAAAATTGGTAGGTGGGCTGTAAACATAATGAGGACGCTTCTGGACTAGTGATTTCGAGGTAAACTCCCATAAGTATGACCCGGGGATGGAGAAATGACTGCTGCTGAAAGCAGTGATGCTGCCGGCAGTACTACCTCAAAGCCACAGAATCTGAAACTAGACAAGGGAACATGGAGTCCAGCTGAAGCAAGTATGACAGAACCCAACTGTCTGACCTAAAATAACGCCCAGCACACCACATACACACACTCAGGCACATGCAGGAATGCACACAGCTACATGAGTAGAACTCATTACATAATTAGTACTTATCATTTAGGATTCATTTCAAAATTATATCTAGGTGAGCCTGCTCTGATCTCTTATAGTATGTTGTTTCTTGGTTATGTCCTCATTGCACTTGTAAACGAGTATTTCAAATTTATTTGCTATCTTTCTTGTCAGATAACATCACTGTGAGAAAAAGATCACATTTGTTTTGTTCATTATTACAATGGTTATCAAAATGTGCTTTCTGGACAAACAGTATTAATGTCACCTAAGAACACATGAAAAATGCAAAATCAAATCAACTCATAAAGAAACTCTGATTCAGACTTAGTAATCTGTGCTTTAACAAGCCGTCCTAGTGATTTTGACAAACCACTAAAGCTCAGAATTACTGGATTTCTATATCCCCTCCCTGTGTAATACATGAGTGATGCTCAGTAAATTTTCTTGAAATGTATCTAATTAAACCTACTGAAAAATGACTGAATAATCCTCATCAAAATACTGCTATTCTTAGTACAAAGAGTGGGTCATTTTTCTCTAGGTTTCCTAGTCTCCCACTAAAGGCTATTCTAAGGCTAATCATAGCAAAATTTTTTGCAAGAAATAGTCACAGTGAAAGAGTTTGCAATATACAAAATGATTTTATTAGATACAAAACTTTTATTAATATCATTTTATTTCTTTTGCAGCTTTAATTTTCAACATTATAACACTTACTAGCTCCTCTGGGTGACTAAATATCTCCACATGCCCACTAGCTAAAAAGAATTTCTTTTTTTTTTTTTTTTTGAGACGGAGTTTCACTCTTGTTACCCAGGCTGGAGTGCAATGGCGCGATCTCGGCTCACCGCAACCTCCGCCTCCCGGGTTCAGGCAATTCTCCTGCCCCAGCCTCCTGAGTCGCTGGGATTACAGGCACGCACCACCATGCCCAGCTAATTTTTTGTATTTTTGGTAGAGACGGGGTTTCACCATGTTGACCAGGATGGTCTCGATCTCTTGACCTCGTGATCCGCCCGCCTCGGCCTCCCACAGTGCTGGGATTACAGGCTTGAGCCACCGCGCCCGGCCCGCTAAAAAGAATTTCTAAGTAGAACTCAAGTGAAACTTCAAGCTACTGCTCTAAGAAATGCATATTTAATTATATGTTTATTTGCTCACCTGTAAAATCCAGTTTACAAATATCATCACTGCAAATATTTACACATAATTCCTAAACCCTTCGGGTTGTTCTACCATTAATCTTCTGATGTCTAGCAAGACAAACACTCTCAGTGAAGACTTTGCCACGTCTCTTAAAAGATTTCTCTCCAGTTTCAGTTCTCTGCTCTAGAATAAGGGGTGCACTTGGAACTAAAGAGTTCTCTCAATTTCCAAATTTTCTACATCCATAGAGCTTCTCTCCTGTAGGTGTTTGTAGGAGATTCCTATTGCCTATAGTATTTCCCGTATTTGCTAAATGTACATGGTTTTCTCCTAGTATGAGTATACTTATGTCAATTAAGGGATTAATACTGACAAACGCTTTCCTACATTTATGGTCTTCATATGATTTCTCTACAGTGTAAACTTTGATAAACAAAATGGTCTACATCTTTGCTAAAAGTCTTCCTATATTCACTACATTCATAAGTCTTTCCCGAGTATAAATTTTTCTGATGTTAAATAAGGGAGACTCTATGAATGAAATTTACCATGTTAAATACTACTTCATGTAGTTTCTCTTCTGTAAGATTTCTCACATATATAATGATTCATATGGTCTAGAGGCTTCTCCACACTTACCACACTACTGGGTTTCTCTCCATCATGTATTCTTTGATGAGCAGTAAGATTTGAGCCTTTGCTAAAAGCTTTCCCACACTCACTACATTTATATGGCTTTTCTCCAGTATGAATTCTCTGATGGACAGTAAGGTTTGAACTACAGCTGAAGGTCTTCCCACACTTAATACATTCATAAGGTTTCTCTCCAGTATGAATTCTGTGATGTTGAAGCAGGGATGACCTGTGACTGAAGGCTTTCCCACATATACTGCATTCATAAGGTTTCAATCTAATGTGATTTCTCAAATGCATATTCAGTGAGTCAAGCTGGTTAAAGGATTTCCGGCACTTCTGACATTCAAAGGGTTTTTCCTCAGTATGAATACTCTGATGCTGAACAAGAAATGAGAGGCTACTAAAGACTTTCAGACATTTGTTGCATTCATATTGTTTCTCCATAGTGTGAATTCTTTGATGTCGAGTAAGGTGTGAGCTACAGCAGAAAGCTTTCCCACATTCACTACATTCATAAGGCTTCTCTCCAGTATGGATTTTCTGATGGTGAATGAGAGATGACCTATGAATGAAAGCCTTTCCACATATACGACACTCATAGAGTTTTTCTTGAGTATGAATTCTTAGATGTTCAATGAGATGGGAAACACGACTAAAAGACTTTCCACAGTTCATACATTCATATGGTTTCTCTCCAGTGTGAGTGCTCTGATGGTTAGTAAGGGATGAGACATGGCTAAAGGCCTTCCCACATTCAATACATTTGTAAGGTTTCTCTCCACTATGGCTTATCTGATGTCGTGTAAGGGATGAGCCATGGCTAAAAGTCTTCCCACATTCACGACATTCATAGGGCTTCTCTCCTGTGTGAATTCTCCAGTGGCGATTAAGGATTGACTGTTTGCCAAAGGCTTTCCCACATTCACTGCATGTATAGATTTTCTCTCTGTTACAAGTCTGGCGAAGAGTAACAGATCTCCTCTGGTTGAAGGCTGCCCCACTTTCATTAGAATTCAAGAGTTTCTTTCCACCACTGATTTTCTCATTTTTTATAACTGGCTTTTTTGATAAGTTCTTCTTTAATATATCATATTTGTGTGAATTTCCTTCAGCAGAAATTTGTGGTTCAGGAAAAGTAGATTTTGAATGAAAGGTGCTTCTAAATATATTGTATTTGTAAACACTGTCCCCACTGGGGCTTTCCCTAGAGAAGAGAGTTGCTGGTCTGAAATGTTCCACCTGACTTCCATGCTTCCCTTCCAACTTCTCTATATATTCCAAATTCTTCTTAGAATTTGAAAATTCATAACTTTGTTTTATAACTTTTTCTATTATTACTGTTTGGGGTGAATCTTCATCATAAATATCCTTCTTTGTTGATAATTCCTTGTTTTCCCATCTTGATTCCCAATCTGAAATAAAGCAAAGCACTGCTTTTTTTTTTTTTTTTTTTAACTTCTTAAAAAGAAACTACTACCATGGAATTAGAGAACTGGATTAGAAATGAAGCCCCCAGAAAACACATAGTTTTGATAACTCAAATATTTCAATGATTCCTGAACAATGCTGAAGGGAAGCAGAGAATACAAAGTTCACGGAAGCAGGAACAGAATGTGATAACAGAAATGGGTAAAATATATGTAATGGATGAAATAGTATGCAAAAAAAGGAAACGATCAGAAATAAAATGTGGAAGGCATTCTGGATTCCAAGCATCACTTTGTGCGTATAATCATGTACAAAACTTTGCATTTTGTCTCATAGCCTTTTTCTCCAACATTCAATTAATTTGTTTGCTGCCAGATTAACATGCTTAAAAGACAGAATTGATATTACTACCTTAAACAGTTTCAGTTAAAACAAAATAAATGTTCTTTATAGCTGGCAAAGATTTGGGCTTTCTGAAGTTATGAAGAAACTGTATGAATCATGTCATTTACTGGACATTAGAAAATATTTTTTCTAGAAACATTTTTATATGTTCCTTACTTCCTCTAATATGTTCATATTTCATCTACAAAGCTCAGCTTTAGAAAAGTGATTTCCCAGCTAATTGACAGCTTTTCTTAGCATAAAACAATCAGTGTATTTTTCCATAAGTAGATTTAAGAAGGAATAACTTGCCTTACTTTGTCATGAATAGAGTAACAATTTGAATTATTATGATGGCAAAAACCTCTAACCTTGATTAGATGACATGAATGGTACAGATAATAATTTGAGATAGAGGAACAATTGTTTTGAAAAGCTAAGCTAAATACCCCTCAGTTTTTCATTTATATCTGAGATCTTTGAAGAGAGTATCCCTAAAATGCTTCCACACTCACTATAAGCATCTTTAACAAAAAATTCCCTTGTCTCGTTCACCATGACTCACCTGGAGTCACACCTTTTGAAAGATTTTTCTCCATCATCCAGGGCTCTTTTCCATCCTCCAATAAGGTGATCACATATGGCTTAGTTATGGAAAGACCTGCTTACAGGAAGAATATAGAATTGCTTAAGCTGCGGTTCTCTATTACGAGAAGCCATCACAAAAGAGACCACAGGAAGGGATGAAGGGTGTTCACTGACATGGAAAGATAAGCTTCAGGCAGGGCACAACAGAGCTACACATTTCCTTGGGAACATGGTACAGAAATTCAGCCACGAGGATCTCCAGCAATTCAGAATGACAAAAGAAAGTTGTCCCTTATTGGAGTGGAAGGGGTGATATCCTTACCTAGAGAGACCAGGTTCTCATAATTCTGGAACATTACATCCTTGTATAAGTCCCTCTGAGCAGAATCTAGCCATCCCCATTCTTCGTGAGAGAAGTCTATAGCCACATCACTAAAAGTCACCTGAAATAGCAAATATATTTAGGTTCAACCATAGATCAGGCCTCTTCTGTCACTGAAGAGGGGTAAAATTAGGCTGGTTGTGGAAGAAATGGAACAAAATTCATGAGTTGTGACAATGATTGGGACTGTGATCTCGGTTAAGTAATAACAGGACAGTAATGTAGATGGAATTATCATACAATAAAGGGGACAGTTATGTGCTTGGACTTATGCAGTAAGGATGAGAAACAAATATGAGAGCTTTGCTTCAGAAGAGTTAATTTTGCTAAAAGCTATAGAATTACACGAATTTTTAAAAATCAGCATTTGACATATGACATCACGGAGTCAAGTATTTAGTTACACCTTTTACAGCTTAAGTGCTAGTTAAGTAATTAAAAAATGAGGCTAAAGCAATTGTCTCTCACATGGGATACTCAGGATGATCCACTAAGGCTCACAAAAAATGGGTAGCTGGGTGTAGTATCTCACACCTGTAATCCCAACTACCTGGTAGGCTGAGGCAGAAGAATGGCTTGAACCCGGGAGGTGAAGGTTGTGATGAGCCAAGGTCACTCCACTGCACTCCAGCCTGGGTAATACAGCAAGTCTCTATCTCAAAAAAAAAAAAAAAAACCTTTATAGGTTTTTTAATCAAAAAAAACTGATAGATATACACTGTTATGGTTTAATTGTGACCCCCAAAAAGCATGTATTGAACTTAATTGCCATTGTAACAGTTTTAAGAGGGGAGAAGTTACAAGATGATTAGGACTTGAGGACTCTACTCTCATGAATGGATTAATGTCATCATCATTAGGAGTAGGTTCCTTATTTTAAAAATGAGTTTGGGCCCCCTTTTGCCTTTCTCTCCTATTCACCCTTCCAGCATAAAAGGACACAGCAAGAAGGCCCTTGCCAAATGCCTGCTCCTTGATCTGGGACTTCCCAGGCTCAATAACCATTAGAAGTCAATTTCTATTGTTGATAAATTACCCAGTCTATGATATTGTTACAGCAGCACCAATGGACTTAAATATACATATAACTGATTCATAAACAAAAAAAGAAATATATTTATGATGTATACTTAAACTTTGTACTGATAGACATTTAACAATTAAAATATGAGATCCCTGGGCAAAAAGACTGAAGGATGGTTTCATGCCATAGATAAGGGTCCCTAACCCCCTGAATTGGGCCACACAGCAGGAGATGAGTGGCAGGCAAATGAGCATTATCACCCAAGCCCTGCCTCTTGTCAGATCAGCTGTGGCATTAGATCCTCATAGGATCACAATCCCTACTGTGAACTGTGCATGCAAGGGATTGAGGCTGTATATTCCTTATGTGAACTGAACTAATGCCTGATGATCTGAGGTGAAACAGTTTCATCCCTAAACCACCACCTTCCACTTCTGTGGAAAAATAAAACCTATCTCTGGTACAAAAAGGCTGGGGACCACTGCCATAGATAGTCCTTAAATAGGACCTGAAAGTAAAGGGAAAAATTAAGAGTACATTTCAAAGAAAATATTCTAAGGAAATGCTCACAGATATGCTTAGAATTCCTCTCAATTGTACTCATTTCACAATATTACTTAAAATAGTAAAACTTTAGAAGCTTAAATATTCAATAGTTTATTGGCTAGTCAAATTATGTGTAAAAAATACATCCATTTAATACAGCATTATTACTGTCTTTGATTTGTGAAACAGACTGCTTCACTGTGGTTACTTTTTAGCTCTGAGAGTTAATTCAGTATTGTATTACTTATTTGGATATTTTCTATGCATGTTCACCAGTGACACTGGTCTTTGGTTTTAAAGGCAGAATTTACTTTTGCCAGGTGTTGGGAAAATAAAATTCAAATCTCCTGCCAAGGGCAGAAAATCCTCTCCACAAATGTAGGGAAAAAAAAAAAGAAAAGAAAATAGTTTTATTTCTGAATAAGCATTAAATCAGACCTTGATGCACTTCACAAGCAATCCACTAATGAGATTAAAGGACAGGAAGAAATCTCATCCTTTTATGTAGCCAAGCAAATACAATCCAATACATAAAATTTCCAAATAATCAAGTAAGACCTGACAGTTCAATTTCCTACACATAATTTATCCCAAATTCACCTGTTAATTGGAGTTGCCACTGTGTTAGTTAATTGCCTTTATCCCAAATAAAAATAACATTTCTCATAGCTTTATGACAAACCAGTCATTACAAGTTAGAGCCAGTGACGCTTCTTTCTTCCCCCACAGTTACCTGGGCAGCCTGTAGTATTCACCCATCTCTGTCCCCAAAAGAACACAGGATATCTGTCCTAGCATTTATTATAATTTCTAATGCTTTCTTACTTTCCTACCAGTGCTGCAATCCTCAATACAGTAGCCACTAGCCAATTTGGCTACATACATTTAAATTAATTAAAATGTAAAAATAAAACAAAGAAAATTTAAAATTCATTTTCTCCATTGCTTAAGCCATAGTTCAAGTACTCCATAGTCATACGGGGCTGATGGCTACCATACTGACCAGTACACATGGA